TTTCAGCTAAATGCGCCTAAATGTATGCTTTCATAAGGAATAAATTTGATTTACACAAATTGAAAATATTTTTGTGCTAAAAGCAACAAAAAAAATGTGGAAAACGGTTGGCCTCAAGGGCCATCCCTGCAACTTCCCTCTAATTTCATACGCTAACGTTCAAATTTCGCTTTTTTCACTGCTTTGGAGCTCTTCGAAATTTTTCGTTTTCGATATCTAGCAAGTAAATCAACCGATTTCGACCCGGTTTGCGGCAAACGATGTGTTTCTTCAAGGTTTAGAACTGATTAGTTTTTGGTGTCGATTGGTCAAGTCGTTTGGAAAAAATTCGAAAAAAACGATTTTTCAAAATTTTTATTTTTGAGTTTTCTCGAAATATACATACAGACATACGGACATCATCGTAGAAATGTTCGGCGAAGCTTCCTCGACCGTCAGAACGTCGAGATCTGTTGAGAACTCGATTTTTGCAAAATGGGGTGAAACCAATATCTCCCCGATTTTTAGAAAATTTTCCATTTTCTTAGCGGGAAGTTAAAAATTAATTACAGCGAATTTTCAAAAATGGCAATTTATAAAATCAATGTAAGCAAGTATAAACATCACCTTCGACTGCAGCGAAGCTATAATGCCCTTCGCAACGACAAGTCGAATTAAGGTTACCTAATAAGGAAAAAAGATATTATATAAAGAACTTTGTCATGGCTTTGATTGGTCAGTTTGTATGGCAGTTTGTATATATGCTGAGGATGTAGCGTTGCCTTGAACGGTCATCCATGTCAGATTTCGTAAAGATATCTCGTCAAATAAAAAAGTTTTCGATACATGGACTTGAGTTTGATCGAACAGTTTGTACGGCAGCTATATCATATAGTTATCCAATATCGGCGGTTGCAACAAATGAGCAGTTATTTGGGGAGAAAAAAACGTGTGCAGTTTCAGATGTATATCACAAAAACTGAGGGACTGGTTCGTGTCACGCATATACTTTATTGGGTCTCTGACGCCAAAAGAAAATGGCTGTTATATACTTCATGGCACACTTGATATACCCGGTTCTGGGTACAAAAATATGCTGATTTTAAGTTTTATTTCTCACTAGACACCATAATTTCAAGTTAATATTTTCTTAGGACCTCTGCACCAACGATACTTTCTCTTGCTTATTTAGTGAACAAACTTTTCGCAACTTAAAACCTCTTTTTCTCAAGCGCCTACCCCGTTTGACCACAGCAGCGCACACGCAAACACACAGAAATATTGATATTTAGGGAGTGGTTTATTCTACCACGTCCACCCAATGGTCATAAATATATGGCACTAAGCGTGCACTGGGAGCGATTATTTTTTCATGAAGCTGTCTGTCGACCTCAAAAACACATAAACGAGCTGAAAATTGGAAACTTTTAATGTTTGCAATGTTTAAGTTGAGTTGAGCTCAGTTTGGGTTTTCATTTCAGTATTTTGTTTGCTCTAATATTTTCGCCCGGTCCTCTTGGTAATGCTTAGCGAACTCGTAGAGTTTCTAAATAACCCAATATGCTGTCATGTTAACAAAACCATGCAATATTTATATACCATATATTTTGGGTACTTGCTTGTGTGTGCGTCATTATTATTTGTAAACAAAAGTGCAAAATTTGCAAATAGTTAAACATGAAAAGCAAGTTGCTTGGTTGAGAAGTGCAAAATTTCATTTTTAAAAGTATTTGCCTACCATTAGATAGAACACACTTGAGTGTTTAGCATACTTTACGGCACTCAGATGTCATCTTAATGGTTGAAGCATGCTACCAACTGATCAACTGAGAGAGAGAGAGAGAGAGGGAAAGTTGCTGACAAGAATTTATTTGAATTTACTTACGAGTTACTTGAAATTGAATGAGTTGCGCTTTGTTGGGACGGAATTTATATAATTATTGATATTCTTTAAGGTAGTATAATTTTAGGAGCTTTTTAAAGCGAAGTAGTTCACCGAAAAATTTTGGAATAAAATGGCAGCTAAAATGAGGATAGTGAGAGTGACGAGTCCATAGATATTTCATGAAAAAAATTTTTTAAGGTAATGGGGAAAGTTCGCTATCATACTGATGGCAGAGCGCGAAAAAATTGATAACTAGTAAAAGGGTCATAAGGATATTGTAAAGCACAGTTCGGCAATTTTTTGTGAGATGGTTGTACTCGGATAGTTTTGTATGAATCTGGACATAGGAAGGGGTTTGAGAATGTAATTTTATTGAATTCAAAATACGGATAAAGAGATCTAAGCCACCCAGGATGAAATCGGCATATAGGCGATTTGAAAGACAAACTCATAGAGGTAAATATAAAAATAGAAAAAGAGAAAGATATAGATATAGATATAGATATAGATATAGATATAGGTATAGATATAGATATAGATATAGATATAGATATAGATATAGATATAGATATAGATA